AGTTGTTCCAGCAATGTCCCAGTGGCCTCCCAGGAGCCTCATTTAGCTGTTCAGGGTGAGTCTGGGCTCTGCCCCTAGACCAGGTCAAAATGGGTCTTGCAGCAGAGAGCAGGTCTTCCTTCCAGCACTCAGGGCAGCAGCAATGAGGGTCCTTCTTCACACAGTGCAGAGTTAAATTATGGAATTTCCTCCCATAGGAGCTAGTGGTGCCACCACCTTAGATGGCTTTAGAAGGGCATCAGACCAATTCATGAAGAATAAGGACATCCATGGCTACTACTAGCCATGAGAGTGATGTTCCACCTACCTCTGCTGTTGGAGATATTATTGCCTTCAAAGGCCCGTTACTGGGAATTGCAAATGGGGAGAGCATTGTTGCAACTGGTCCTACTTTAGGCTTCCTACAGGCTTATGTGAGAACAGATTGCTGGACCAGATGGGCCTTTGGCCTAAGCCAGCTGTTCTTTTTTTAAAAAAATAATATTTATTAAAGTTTCAAACAAAATTACAGTAGTACAAAAAAACAAAAAGAGAAAAAGAGAAAATAAAATACAAAAAACAGAAAAAATAGAATAACAAAAACAAATCAGTATTTCCATATCTTGTCTTTCATTCACTTGTTTCCCGGACCTCCTCACACCTCCCTTTTTTGCATCCCAAATCAGTTATTTAATTCAGCAAATCCTTTCCCTTTTTGTTCTAATCTTAATCCTTTATCTTAGTATATTATTACTTCAAGTCCCCATCTATTAACAATCCATTTTTACCTAAGCCTTAATAACATTGCTGCTAAGACCACTTAACTTCATTCCAACATCATTCTAACATTCATTAATTTTGCAATATTTCTGTAGATAGTCTTTAAATTTCTTCCAGTCTTCTTCCACCAACTCTTCTCCCTGGTCTCGGATTCTGCTGGTCATCTCTGCCAATTCCATGTAGTCCATCACCTTCATCTGCCATTCTTCCAGTGTGGGTAGATCTTGTGTCTTCCAATACTTTGCAATAAGTATTCTCGCTGCTGTTGTAGCATAAGCCTAAGCCAGCTGTTCTTATGTTCTTACAGACAGAAAGCAGCAGGCAGGTACCAAGATATGGGACATCTGGTCTTGAAACCTGGTTAGCCCCTGCCCCCAGCAACCACACACCATCAGTTTTACCTTGCCAGCTGATGTTTCTAAAATACAGGGCCCACAAGAAGAAATATGATGCTGAACACATATACACTTCCTCTACTGGCCTAGGTTCCATGGAACGGCTCTGCAAAGAGGATTTTAAAATATGAACCAGCTCTAAGAGTTCTGTGCAAATTAGAAGCTGTCTTGCAAACATCGTCAGTTGGTCCTAAAAACAGCATGATGTTACCAGTGTTTAGCTGGTGAAGGTTTTGAAGCGAAATGATCCCTAATTGTGAAGGATGCACCGTACCTGGCTAAATAGTTGCCAAATTCCCAGTGTAGGAGGTTTCTGGAGAATGCATAGATTAGGGAGATTGCTAAGAACAATGGGTTAAAGGCAGGGGAACTTAAAGAAAGGAAGATTTAAAGTATTCTTACATCATGGGTCTTTAGTGCTATTAAGACTCCATTATCCTGGGGATGACTCCTTCTCAGCTTCCTAGAGTATGTCTTTGCAGTAAACAGCAGCGTGCCAGAAAATAAAGAAACGTATTGTACAGACTGATGCACACAGAGGACCAACTGGAGAGAAGCACCTTTCGATTGCTCTGTACCACTCTCTCAGCATGAAAGCAATTATTCAGCAACAGAGATCAAGCTCACTGATATTTTTCTCCTTTAAATATTTTGGCATTGATTAATCTCAGACTATCAAGAGTCCTAGACAGAAGATGTGACCCTGCTCAAGGCAGCACCAAACATACCTTTGTGATAAATGAGAAGTATTTTTTATGCAGCTATGAAGCAGTGAGATACAGGACACCTACTCCCGCCAAAATATGTATGCCTGAAAATGCACTACACAACTTTTGTAAAAAGTTGATATCAGGGCCAGATTAACCATGAGGCAAAGTAAAAAAATTGCGGATATATTTGTGGACAATCCCCATTCCCTGTGCCAGGTATCTTAAATCCTCCCCCCGTGTTACTGATCTAGAAGCTGTGATGTCATTTATCCCAGGTAAAGGTAAAGGGACCCCTGATAGTTAGGTCCAGTCGTGGCTGACTCTGGGGTTGCGGCACTCATCTTGCTTTATTGGCCGATGTGGCCAGCATGACTAAGCCGCTTCTGGCGAACCAGAGCAGTGCACGGAAACACCATTTGCCTTCCCACCAGAGTGGTACCTATTTATCTACTTGCACTTTGATGCGCTTTCGAACTGCTAGGTTGGCAGGAGCTGGGACCGAGCAATGGGAGCTCACTCCATTGCGAGGATTCGAACTGCGACCTTCTGATCGGCAAGCCCTAGGCTCTATGGTTGAACCCACAGCGCCACCTGTGTCCCTTCATTTCTCCCAAACTATGAGCAAACCTAAAAACTAGTAACCTCTCCAGTAGAAACATAAATATGATGGAATAGCAATGGACTGTACTGTAGCACATTTGAGGTGTGGAAGCATCAGCACAGAGGATGGGTGCCTGCATCGGCTCTATGGGCTTCTTTGGCTCCTCCGCACACCCATTTTAGTCCCAAAGGGCTTTGGGCTTCTTCACACTTCTGCCTGTGCCTTGCCTAGAAAGCATGGGGCGCAGCCGATTTCTGCTTGCCCCACTCCTTTGCAAGGGAAGTCCTACTCCTTAGCGATAGAGAAGAACAAATGGCCTTCCAGGGGAAACCCGAATGGCGTTTTACTCCGACTGAGTGGTGAAGGGCGGTTTCCCTCAGGGGAAAGCAATGGGGCAAGAGGAAGCCGTTTGTCATGCCGCCTGATCCTATCTGTGTTTATCCAGAAGAAATCCCACTTTAGGCACTTCAGGGTATACAGTATTGGTTTATTTTTACTCAGGCCCCTTGCTGGAGATACAATGGGGCTCCACAAGAGTTGTTTCCTGCTGTTGCACAAAGAACATGATTTATTGATTTAGAAGGACTTTCAATGTTTTTTGCAATCTCCAGCCTCCTGCGCTTTTGGACATGACTTTGAAGACTAAAACTAAAAATAGATATTCAATTACCATTACAGTGTCTGCTATTAGGGAATTCAAGGTGGCCAGTTTTCTCTGCAAAATCTTGGCTCAATATCCATTTCCCTCAGATCAGCGCTCATATGGTCAGTAACTATGTTATATTGATTAAAATGATACTCACAGAGCAGGCTATCATTTAAAGAGAAATTGGATCTTTTTTATATTTCTGGTTAATTGTAGAGACAGTAGATAGCATAGATGTTGATGTGGCTTGCCAACCAGCGGTCTAAGGGGGTTATAGTCAGAGTCTGAGTAGCATGCAGGATTATTTGCATGTCCAGGGATAAGGTCAAGCGACAGTAATCAGCATAGAGATGAAGAACAAAATGGAACATTTCCAGCATGAAAACCATGGAAGAAATTGGGCCTAATCTGGGCCCCGGGACTTAGTTTACTGACCCCTGCTCTAAAGCTTAGTTTAAGGGATGTTGTGTTAACATTTACATTACAACATAGTTGGGGCTTAGCAGGCGGATGCTATAGGGACAACTCAGGTAACAATAACAACCATGTAGTAAACCTATAGAGCTCTGTCTTGGGGCCATCCCAGTGTGTGTAGGAAGTGATTGCACATTCAGAGTATTCAATGATCTCAGTGATGGTTGCATGCAAAGCCAAAGAGGGTGGAAGGAAAGTGTAACTCAGGTGTCATCTCACTTATATTTCAAATAACATCTGTGTGGCGCCAGAAAATAAATAAGTTGATCAAAACTGTGAAAAGGTGCAAAAAGGCCAAAAATGGCCCCAAGAATAGGAAAATTGCAAAAAATCACCACATGAATCTGACCCACAGCAAAGCACCTGGGGGTACCGGTCTACCTCTGAATCAGAAGCCAGGCACTTCAGGGTACCAGTCTACCCTCCTTGTTTTCGTTTCCATGTTGTTCTCCAGCAAAGAGGAAGACCAAGAGCCCCCATTACCACCATTGATGCCAGTCTTGTGGAAATCAGTGAAGGTTCGGGTAGGGTCTGTGAGAATCTTCATTCCATCTTAGGCTGCCCAAAGCTTTCTAGACACCTTGCCACCAGCATGAGGCAAACTCCCTCATGAGTTGCATGCATTCATTTCTGCTCCTTATGGTAATATGGACTGATAAGGTGTTAGGTTTTCTTTAAGAGAGAATAAACAAATCTGGGAGAGACTGCTGCACTAACTGCTGACATTCATTCCAAACCCTATTTTAGCCCTTGGAGCAACTAAGATCTTGCTTGTGCTTAGGAAGGTGAGAACGAACAACAAGCTTGATGCACATTATTTCCCCACGTACACTGATTGCTTTCCTCTATGTCTCCCTGGTTCACTGAACCAATGATCTTAAGCATCATTAGCTCTTCAGGGTTAAAATAAATCAAATATGCCTACAGGAATAATAATTCAAAAGCTGACACCGTGTTATTTACTACCCACATCTCACCACAGAACTTTGGCTTCATCTTTGTAGCCATTATTTTACAAACGGCTGCATATATATTTTATACATATGTGAAGTGATTGCAAGTGGAAGTATACAGCTTAAATAATTGTCTCTGCATAATTTTTTTTGCAAAGAAGCCAGTTGTCAACATTTCATGGCACTTTCTAATATTGCCCTCAACTTGTCCTGTGCAAAAAGAGGTTGATTCGGTTTTTGGTGATGCTGGTGTAAAATTCTCACAACAGGAAGAACCTTTTTTTATGAACTACAGTCTTTTTCGGAGATTTGTAATTCTCCCCAATGTCACTCTTCACAGCAACTATCTTAATGTGTAGCGTGTTTTTTTCAGGTGCTTCAGTATAGAAAATAAAAACCAACAGATAGTTTTCTATGAACTTTTAAAATGCATCGTTCTAACGTCGAGAATATTCAGTTTACCTTCAGCCTCCATTAATCCCATTCCTGTTTGCTTCACTGGTTCTGGCCCATTCTGGCTCATCTTTCCTCTGTTGAAAAATACAGTTGAGCAGCTATTAAAAAAAAAGCCTTCCACCGTCAAATGATGCAATATACCACCCTGAGATCTATAGGGACAGGGTATACAAATTTAATAAATAATATTTTTTTGATTAAAAATGTTTACAGGTTGACTCAGTATGAAATGTTCATTTATTGGAATTCATGACCCATAATTGTTTTTAAATTTGCAAAAAGGCAGAGGCTATCAGCAGAAGCAACCCCTAATCCCCACCTGTTTGTTCATTTCCAAATGCAGATGTGCAAGCTGTTGCACAATTTGCCACATGAAGCACGCTTTCACACTCAGAAGAGATCCTCTGGTTGTAGCTGGATTCTTTTAACACTAGGAAAACAGATGGCAGCTGAAGGGATTGTCGCACAGGGATATCTCACAACCTGCATTCTGTTGGGAGGTGTGGGCCTGGCTTGGTGTCTGCTCAAGTGCTGGCCACCAGTAGCTTATGCACTGTTTAAGATGTGCAAGAATGTTGTTTACGTGGGGCAGAGCGGGGCAAGGCCTTCACATGCAGTGATGCCACATCTTGTTTTTCCATGTGAGTTGAAACAGGAAGGGCTGCCCCTCCCCATCATGCCTCCTCTGGCTTCTGGTGAGATTTCAGCAAGATCTCACCAGAAATCGGCACTGATCCTGGCACCACTTCTCCAGCAGCAGCAGCAGAGGAAGCTGCTTCCTCCCCCCTGATCACAGGGCACTATGTGAATGTCTTCATGTGTGAACTGTGCCTTTGTCTGTGCTCACACATGAACAATTGGCCAGATATTCACTGTACCTTCTCACTTATCTGTAAATTGAAGGATAATTGAGATTGGGCAGACATCTGAAGCTGATGCCATTGGAGTAGTTCTGGGTTGAGCAGTGTCACCCTATTTATTAATTATTATTTTATTTTTTAAATTTGTTAGTCGCTTTATCTTGCCCAGTGCAACCCAAAGTGACTTACAATCCAACAAACAGACAGGTGACTCCACTCCACAGAGATTCATAAAAACCAAGAGGAAAAAGAAATATATTAAAAACATCTCACCTACTTCTAAAAGGCCAAATGCCTAGTTACAGAGGGAAGTATTTGCCTGGTGCCTGAAGATATATAATGGTGGTGCCAGGTGAACCACTCTGTGAAGAGCATTCCATAAATGGAGACCCACCACAGAAAAGGCCCGTTCTTGTGTGGCCAGCCTCTGGACCTCTCGTGGTGGACGCACACAAAGAAGGGCTTCAGATCATGATCGCACAGTCTGGCTCCATTCATATGGGAAGAGACGGTCTCACAAATTCTGTATAAACATTTGCTGTCTTGGATTTTACTAATAATCAGGACGTTTTGGTCAACCATATTCCATCATTCCTCTGTTGAGGGATTACTGATCAATTTTCAGCTCCAATCAGTGTGTGAGCTCAGGCATCTTTCTATAGACATCTTTCCTAGAGGAACTTACTTTCAATATTTTAAAAACATTCATCCTCAAGCACTTCCCGAAGCTGTATTATATTAGTAGGGATTAGTATAAAATAATTACAGGCCTGAAGTTGAAAAATATGATTAAAACTTTTTTATTTGACTTCAGGGAATAATTTGTTTTTATCTACAGGCAGAAAGATTAAATATAAATTCTTAATCATATGGAAATTTGCAGCATGAATTGACTTTTCTACTAGAACTACTGAAGAGGAAACTTAAAAGAATAAGATGGATGATTTCTTTTTATCTTCTACTGACTTAGCGTACAAAAGCACTGCTGTCCTATAGCAAATCAAGGAAGACTTAATGCATATAAGTGCTTCTGAAATACAATCTCCTGGGGCCAAGTTTTGACTTTATTCCTTTTACGGACTTTAGAACATAAGGTTACGAGCCAGTTCTTTATAACCAAATGGAATCACTAGAGCAGGAAGTTTGCTGTTCTTCACTAGTACCTAAAACAGACGCATAGACCTTGTTCATTTGTCAAATTGAGCAGTAGTTAATGGTCTGTCACGATCACACCTTTCTAGTCTGTTCTACTCATCCTTATTAGCACATGGAGGAAACAGACTACAATATCTAAACCAGGGATTATAGTTTGTTGTGCCCCCAATGAACCAAGGTTTGTTTGAATGAAACAAACCATAATAATAATAATAATAATAATAATAATAATAATAATAATAATAAAATTATTTATACCCTGCCTATCTGGCTGGGTTTCCCCCAGCCACTCTGGGCGGCTTCCAACAAAATATTAAAATACAATATTTTTCTTCCCCTTTTAAACATTAAAAGCTTCCCTAACCAGGGCTGCCTTCAGATGTCTTCTAAAAGTCTGGTAGTTGTTTTTCTCTTTGACATCTGGTGGGAGGGCGTTCCACAGGGCAGGTGCCACCACCGAGAAGGCCCTGTGCCTTGGTTTCTCGCAGTAAGGGAACCGCCAGAAGGCCCTCAGCGCTGCACCTCAGTGTCCAGGTAGAATGATGGGGGTGGAGATGCTCCTTCAGGTATACTGGACCGAGGCCATTTAGGGCTTTAAAGGTCAGCACCAACACTTTGAATTGTGCTCGGAAACGTACTGGGAGCCAATGTAGGTCTTTCAAGACCGGTATTATGTGGTCTCGGTGGCTGCTCTCAGTCACCAGTCTAGCTGCCGCATTCTGGATTAGTTGTAGTTTCCGGGTCACCTTCAAAGGTAGCCCCACACAGAGTGCATTGCAGTAGTCCAAGCAAGAGATAACTAGAGCATGTACCACTCTGGTGTGTTTGGACATTATGCTAGCCTAGGGATCATAGTTTGTTCATAGCAAACCATTAACTACGATTTTACTATGAAATGTGAAATGGGCCATAGAAGAGAAAGACTTGCAAGATTATCCAAATAGGACAGTAGGGTGGAGAACAACTGCAACCTATTCTACCCTTGTCTCACAAGCCATAGTTCAAGTGGCCATAGTTTACTCCACAGTCTTGCTTCTGAGCCCTCAAACATATTGCCTTGGGAACAAAATAAAGCCTTGCCACTTATTGTGATCCCCAAATACTGATTAGTCAGTTGATTAATCACTTGGCATTTCCTATGGTCAATAATGATTAGTCAGTTGAGAAGGAAATTTGCATTAGCAGAATATTTGTCAGGTACTGGCTTATTCATACATTTAATCAGCATAATAAATTCAGTTGATAGCTAGTTCTTCAGAGGGAAATGTGGAGGGTGGCTAGCTCCACCCTCTTCTTTATCTTTCTTCTCCTTCACCCTGGCAGAGACCCTCCTATCCTTCGCATACCCAAGGATTTTTCTATCTCCTTGCTGCCTTTCCTGCCCCACCCTGAAAGGGGGGAAGAAAAATTATTAGTGTCACTTCCAACAATATCAGAATTAGGTCATTTTCAAAAGTGGTGGGTTGGTTTGTTGCTTGTAAAACCTACACATATTTTACTTAAAAATGTGCAATTTCCCCCACTCTATTCTGCATTAATAAATTGGGTTCAGTATAACTTAGGGGAATGGCAGCTTTCCTCATAGGTCCCTCCCCCACCCCAGAGTCCCCTCCTCAGGGTTCATTCTAAAACCAAAGAAATCAAACTTTAAAAAGTGCCAAGGCCAAAAAACTCTCGACCTGTTTGTATTTGCATGTAATTTTGCAGGCTTAGTCCACTCGGGATGGACTATTATGTCTGAAAACTTCAACCATTTCTATGAAATGGGGAAAAAGTTATAGCCATTTCAAGAATTCCCAGTAGTGAATTTGGGAAGGGAACGAAGCTTCATTCTCCCCCTAGGTGGACTTGGCATTTAGATCCCAGGCCAAACTGAGCAGCCTCCCAAGTGCTTTAGGAGTCTGAACTGAATCTTGTGGTTGTTTGCATGCTTCTGTTTCACCAAACTTTTGTCAGAATTCTAGACTGGCATGTGTCTAGATAATATTTGCTATGACATCTGCTATGTTGGTGTCAGGGAATTGACATCGGAGCCAGAGGCGGAGGCAAGGCTCCCAAGCGATGCTGGAGAAGGGCCCAGCAGGGAGAGAGGCAGCTCATCAGCTGGGGAAGGAAATCAGCGTAACACCAGGGATAAAGGGGGGCAGATGGGGGAATTGGCGAGGGGGCTCCAGGACTCCTCGCCGGAGACCAGCAGGGGAGAGCACGGGTCCTCCGCTACCCACACCCTCCTTGCGCAGAAGGCTTTCGCGCAGAGAGAGTAGGAGGAGACTGGGCGTCAAACAGCTTTTATGCTGGAAAAGGTTTAAGAAACGCCCACTGACGGATTCTGCTAGCGACTGAAACAGCCACAAAGTGAAGGGCTGTCCAGACAGAAAAGGCTTAACCAGGCACACTAGCCAGGAGTGGCGGCAACTTACGCACGAGCAACCCCTATAAACATTACAGTTGGCTAATTTTTTCTTTAAAAAAGATAATATTATCACTGCTCTAATTTTCATTGGTTTTATGACTATATTCTGGGAAAATATACAAAAGTTTAAAATACTGTGTTCAGTGGAACTACAGCTTTAATCCCACCAGTGTACTGTTTAGCACACACATGCATACTTACGTTGCACATAAGTATGTGTAGGGAAGCAGGGGAGGACATATGGCAGTTCCTTGGGGGTTAAAGTAGGAACCTCTCATTCGTCTTTCCATGGCCAGTAAAAGCAACAACTCATTACATTTTTAAGAAATTCTTACATTCTTGGAATGGGAAAGAGATTGGTGTCCGCAGTGGTGGTACTGCTGCTGCTCCCTTCGCTGTCCATGCTGTATCCGCTGCCAAAGGTACTGGCTGAAGAACCAGTGGAGGAGACTGAACTTTCTCCCGGTCGGTGGTTCGTAGGTCTTGCTGTACAGGGTAGGAATGAAGGATTACCAAACAGCCTAGAGAGACATCAGTGTCAGCAATACAAGTAGCACCTAGCGATCGTGTGGAGTAAGAACAGAAAATTCTCACAAAATGTTGCTCTAAATAGGTTCTGGGAAACCTATTCAACAATACACATCAAGGCTAATTTATAACTGGAAAATACAATTTTAATTTCCTCACAATGGTTTGAAAATTGAAACAATATTCATCTAGCAACAGCAATGACATTGTACAATTAATCCTTACTATTTCTAGTCAACAGCTCAAATGTCACACTACTGAAGGCCTTTTGAGAAAGTGTACACAGTAAAAAGGGGGGGGGGACCCTAAATGATGAATTAGGAACACAGATACTAGACAGGCAACATCTTCTCTAGACACCACATAACTACTTGAATATATTTCTCAACTGCAAGTTAAAAGCTTAGAACATGTTACAGTCTCTGTTTTATTCCAAATATTGACCAAAGGAAACAATACCAGTCCAGCCATGCTGAGTTCACAAATCTCCAACAAAAATATTGGAGAATTTCCTTCACCCACCCACAAATTTATATTCATTCCTTATTTTAATGTCTCTGTGCTTGTTACCTTTCTCATTTGGGGCAAATTGAGAAATATGCGAAGCTACAATGTCATACAAAATAATTCTTGTCAATGATTAACTGCAGCAGTGTACATTTGAGCAACACTATTGCCCAGGACAATACAACGCCACTAAAAACTAAAACAGATATTGCGCTTTCTAGAAAATACACATTGATTAATATATGTATATATGTTGTGGGTTGCTGTTGTTGTTTCTTAAAAAATGTGCTCCAGCTATGGCATATAAGTTTATGATAGTGTATCACAGGTTAGGGCCATGATGCTCCAAAGCTTTGCAAACAACTCGTTTCCATATGTTCCAAAGATTCAGGTCACAGCCAAATACATTTGCCAAATGGGAGTTTTCAGATAAAGCATCTGAGCAATTTCATGAAATTGCATGTCACCTTAGAAAGGTGGGAGAGTACCTAGCGACAGCAAGAGCACTGAAATGTGACAGCACTCAAACAGGAAAAAGCAGAGCCCAGCGACAGCTACAGATTATTGATGTCTATAGACTGAATAATGGGTTGGCTCTCTGAAAACTGTTTCGTTTTTGGCGGTGACAAAGCCCATTTAATTTTTCTGTGAATTAGGTACTGAGAAGCCTATTACAAAGAAGGTTTATTGAGCAGCAAATTTATTTACAATATGAAGGATTCTTGTAAAGCAATGACTGAATATGCCAGAGAGGCCCTGGTTTTTGAAACAGCTCTGAACAGGAAAGGATCAGATTGATATGAGCTCCCCTCTCTCTGCACAGTCATAATGGTTGCCCTAAAAGCAATTCAGTACCAAAACAAAACAAATAAACAAAAAAATAAACAAAAAACAATCTATATGCAGGGCTAAAGCACAGAAGTAGGAAAATGCAACTCCAAAAATGCAAAAAGGGACTCTTTCCGTGCTCCATTGCCAGTGAGGTAACCTTGAGACAGTTGATTTAGCGGATAGAGAAGACCTGTGTTCAAATCCCCACGCTGCCATGAAGCTGACTGGAAAGTCTTTGAGAGATCACTTTCGGGGCCTATTCAGGCTTTACTTGCATGGAGGGACAATGTTAAGGGACAAATGGACTGCTGGGCAACCACTTCAGCCTCTGTATCACCCCTTGGTCTTCACATGGCATGTGCTGGTTTCTTATGTGTTCAGATGCAACTTCTGCAGTGGAACAACTTCCCTAGATGTGTCCGTTTCTCATGCAATTTAGAAAAGTCCTATTTCCAACTTCAAGCATGAGCTCAAGAACCCGCTTATCCGCAGTCATGTTGCCTACAAAATCACTTTCTTATGCCTGATTCTCATATCGCCTTTGGACTCTTCCGCTGTAATTTTAATGCACCAGTTTCACGTCATGAATTTTTAGTTTAAAAGAACCTCATTTAGTATTTATGATATCAAGTCACATGATGGTTTTGGGTGGGTTCCTGCCATGGAAAATGCACTCTCTCATCATATGTAGGGTCAGTCAAACAGAATATTCACCACATGAAACTGATGTGGTAAATTCGCCTTGTGAGAAGTATCTTGGGGACCAGACTTTAGTTGACAATGATACCCCCTCCCCCAAAAGGGTCCTGACCTAAGGAAAAAGACAATCAATAAATCAATGCATTAGAGGCTAATGATGCTCTTCCACGGTTGGATAAGGACAACACCGAAAGATCTATTCAAAAGAAATGATCTTCTGTAACTTCGACACTGCTTTTGTATCCAGAGCTTGTGTTTGTTGAGTTTGGTAGGCCAAAGAGTGTTTGCCTAGAGAGAGCTAGCCAGTTGATGCAACAGGTGCTCATTCTCTGTAATTCAGAATCCTTTGCAGAGTCAGCCTCTCTCCATCTTGCAAGCAGAAGTAACTTTGGTTGCTAAAATAGCTGGTTGGGAAGCCCTGGCCTTCTTTTCTTAATGATCACCAAGGAGATGCTATCTTTGAATGCACTGCTTCAGCTTGAAACAAAGACTAGACTCCCGTAACCATTCCAGCCCCGCAAGGTGACTGCAGCCACACCATAGGACCTACCAGTGGGAGAAAGATTGAATGTGGATCAGTGGATCACCACAGCCTTTTTCAGGTGTTCAGAAGAATACACGAGGGCTTAAACTGGGGAGGGGGGAGTAGGCACATACACAATGTCTCCACCCAAAATGTCCCCAGACAAGTTGGGCACACACACTGCACCCCTGAACTTCTCATGTTGAGTAGAAAGGTCTGAAGAGGCCTTGTAAACACATTGGGCTGGGCACACAAGCTTCCTGACCACCAGGAACCCTGATAACGCAGGGTTTCGGTCCCAGGGGTGCTTGCAAGCATGATCACTTGACTGCACTGACAAAACTCCTTCAGCCCCTCCTGATCAGCACAAGAAGGCTGAGGTGGGAGCAGCTATGCTTGCCTATGCCCACTCCCTAATTTAAACTCTGGTCATGTTTTCGTCACCCAAATTTCTTTGTCATGTCCAATGGGGAATTGTGTATCTCCTATTTCAGAGAGATCATTCCATTCCTGGGGTAAGGAGATGTAAAACCTCCCCTTCAGACATGATTGAGAAGAGCTAAGGGAGCAGGTAACAGGGCTTCTTCTCCTTCCTATGTCTGAAATGGTTCTCAGAGAAATGAACGTGAGAGATATGGAAATTCTTACTGTGAATTTCTATTCCCGGGGTTCCTAGAGGGCAGTCCTGGTAAGGGATGGCTGCTACAACTTGCAGATCTCTCTTCATGCCAGGACTGCCGTCCAGGAACCTCCAGGGAATGAACACTATCGTTTTCAGAGTTTACATCCATTGAGCAGCAGTCTCTATCCTCGGCACCCAAGGAGCAGTTTTGTCCTAAACATACTCCAAAATCTATGGAAAGGACCATGACTCCTACTGAGACAAACTAGAAGACTCTTGAATGTAGATATAACTTTATGTGTCATGTCACTAGGAACATCATCTCCTCCTCCTCCTCCACCTCCTCCTCCACCTCCTCCTCCTCCTCCTCAAATTTCTTCTTCTTCTTCTTCTTCTTCTTCTTCTTCTTCTTCTTCTTCTTCTTCTTCTTCTTCTTCCTTGCTGTAAACTTTCACAGGTGAAAACACACTAGATGTACAAATGATAACAACAACCGATGCTGTGTCCAAGTTGAAATCCCAGTGTGCCATGCTAGTCTTTACTCAAATAAAAAGAATGGTTTAATCATGCTTAAGCAATTTATGTTAAACACATGCCATTTATTAGGCAGTGTGAGCCCAGCTAGCCCCATTTTTGTGTGTGCTGCTGGAGCTTCCCTGTCTCAGAACGTTCTATAGTTTGGACTCAGCACAATCTTTCAAAATGGGGTTTGCACATGAGCTGTAAGATGGGCCTAGGGTTTTTCAACCCAACCTGAATACCGCAGAGAGGGCTGGAGAGATAAGTTCAATGTGTAAGGATGAATTAGCAGGCATGGCAAGAAGGCATTTGGTTAAGGCTGACTTCTTGGCCATGTCTTTGGGCTCACCTCCTTCAGGCTTGGCCGGTCCATCAGACATCACTTTCCTGAGGGCTAGTTGGCTTTGGTCTTTGTTGTCACTGGCTGGTGAAGGCAGATTGTCAGACTGAGTTCTTTGAATGGGGAGGACTCCTGCTATGCTGTGTCTGTGCTGCTTCCTTGTATGGTTAGACTGACCGCTTTTATGTGCTGCTGTGGCAGTGTGGGTGGAATGGAAACCCAGAGTATGTATCCTCAGATGGAACCAGCTTAAATGTTAGTCATGCAAACACAAGTGGGGGGTTTTCTCTTCTGGATTTAAATAGGCAAAGTGTCTTCAGAGACCAAAGAGACACCACATGCACAGCATTAAAGGGTAATTAAACTGGCTGTTTCTTTTTCATTAACAACAATGAAGAAGAAGATGGAGGGAAATTTATTTTCTGCTTTCTGCAATATGCAATGCTGATTATATGGCACACCAAATAATCATGGAGACAAACACAATGACGCGACAGTTGGATTATATTAATTTGCAGGTGACTAAAGCCTCAACCTGTAATTCAGTGACGGGAGGGGGGTATGTAAAAGTTGTAATTGTACAACCTCACTGCAGACTAAGAACAACAAAAAAATCAAACCCACCCCTAAATAATGTCACTCTAGCAGAGCTAATGATATGGCTGTTAACGTTACCAATATTTCCTCAGTAATTATCTATATGTTAATTTTTGTGCTCCACAAAAATGCTATTGACCTAAGAAAACATCTGTTGCTTCAAATAATCCTGTCCAAAGATTAAAACTGTCAACATTTATCAGCACTGAGTGACCTTTTTCCAGGAAAGTCTTATGACATTCTTAAGGTCTTTGAGCTGCAAAGGGTGACATTGCCCAATACGTCTCTTTCTCATTTGCTTGCTAATGTTAGCAATCTGTGTTCCTTGCTAAACTGCAGGATCTTACTTAGGAGGCTGGAAACCAAGTCTATGAAGTTTGAATTATGGCTGAGGCATTTAGTGGCACCAAAGCAACAGCACACAGCAGAATTTTACCACAAGATGTGGACAGACAGTGGACAAACGGAGACCCCAGTAGAGAAACAGCCAGTTCTACTGCATTCTATGCAAATAAAAGAGGACTTCTAAATAGGAGGAATATATTATATTTATATGGATCTACACACAGACACACACGGAGAGAACACTGAACAGGTGGAACACACATTGTGCTAAGAGCAGAAAGAAAAGCCCAGCAGGGAAAGGGTTTGGGGGGTGGGAAGCGAAGGAGGGGGGCAGGGGAGAAGGCAACAGTTGAACATTAAGCTGCCATGCTGAGGAATTTTATTTGCGTCTTTTACTTGGTTGAAGGCGGAGCTGTTGGACAGCTGCTTCAGCAGCGGCGATGGCTGCCCCAGCATCTTCAAGGTGCGTTTGAGTGACGCTGGTTTTGCTTTGGCTCCGCGAAGGCCCATGAGAGCGCAGGTGTCCTTCAGAGGAAGATTTGGAGCTTCCTGGACTGCTGTGGGACTTCTCAATGGTGGGCACCTGCATATCTGCAGGGGAAATATAATGGTTATCAAAGAGATGCGGGAGACAAAGACCAACTTCAACCTCTATTTATTCTAAGCAATAAGAAGCCATGTACAATGTACAAAAGATTATACAAGTATTAGAAGAATTGCAAGTTCTGTTTTTCCTGTATTATAATACATGTTGTGCATATCACATAATGCATTATACAGTTACATATGCAAAAACTGATTTATAGATTTTGGGGTGACTCCCCCCCCCAAAAGATTCGGAAATGACAGATCATTTCTTCGTTTTTAGGCAAAAGTTCATCTAACTAAGCAGCTTGGGAACATGAAGTTGTAAAAAAGTTATAACCCACACAGTTATAGCACACACAGATAAAATATTTCCTACCCTTTGATGGGTCAGGGAAAATCCCGTGACTTCTGCTTTTGATGACAGACGGTTTGGGGGACTGCTGGCTGTTCTGTCCAGAGTGGGATTTTCCATGGTCAATGCTTTCACTCTGCTCCTTCAGAGTGTACCACCGAGGAGTATTGTCCAACTGAGAGGCACTAGAAAGCTCAATTAATACCTATGTGAGGATACAGAGAGCAAATTATTTTGTTACTGAACACCTTACAATGTCTGATTCTGATCTGGCTAACGTGCGCGTTAGCTCAAGAGTTTCTCCAGTCGAAACAGTGGAGAATGCTAAACAGACTCCCAGAATTATATACGGCATGCTATATAATAACAGAGACATTTAAAAGCAAAAGCAAAAAAGGCTGAGGGCTAAAATAATTCCAGTCGTTCCTTTCTTCCTAATGTTTCCGTATCTGTTGTCGTCATCATCATTATTATTGTACATGGTGTTTTACAGAATACCGTAAGTAAAAAGACATGTTCCTATTTTGAGGAAACTACAAAACATGCATCCACACCACAAACTTCAACCTTGGAGATTGTAAGTCCTCTAGTCCTCAATAAACTCCCGATGCCCAAGGTTCTCCTGTGAATGCTAAAACAGCAAAAGTGCTTTATGAGTGATTTATATTTGTGGGGCGGATGCACCCCAAGAGCTTTTCTCTTGGCACAGCAGCCTCTGGAAGAGGAATGGTAGTTGCAACCATAGTTTGTCAATTAAACCAGGGTTAGCGCAAACCATGATTTGCAAAACCACATGAAACCATAGTTTGTTTACCAGCCAGGCACAGACCATAGTTTGTTAATTCAGACACCACACCACCATACCATAGGTAACCTTCCTTAACTATGGCTTATTATGATGCCTGAACTGAGTCAAGTCAGCATCAGTTCCCACAATGGCAGCATCTGGAGAAATGCCATAGCCATTGCTGCTGGTTATATCTGTGATTTCCCACCTTTCTCCACAGAAACATGCATCCAAGGAACATCAGAATTACTAATCTGGATGAAAAATGCACCATATGAGTCTACTCTTAGTTGACTACTATGTCAGGCGAGGGAAGGCAGTGAAGCAAGAAATAAGGGATACTCACCTCACCCAGGAAGTCGTTGGAGGAGAATCTATCATAGTCCCAGACAGTAACTTCCAGGGTCTTCTTCTTTAGCTGCAGTTAATATCAAAAGATAATTAATTTCAATCCTCTTCATGAATCTGGCACCGAATCCATAAAGCATGCTTTGCTTGTTGCCATCTGCCGGCACCCGCCGTTCTTTTTCAATATGACAGCCAGGCAATTATTGTCCTCCCATCAACCTTGAACTCAGAAAATTCATTTCGGGTAAAGCTGAAAGTTGATATCAAGACAGATGAGCTCGGCCGAGGTTCTATGCAAGCTTGGAGGAGTTATTTTGCCCAGCTTGGCTGTGCTCCCAATACAAAGCCCACAGTGTGACTTTTAAAAAGTTGATAGCATCTATACGTCTTCCCTCAGTGCTCAGCACCAGTGAGTAGATTTTACTGTGTTCTGGGCAAAGTCAAAATGCATTGGTATTCACAGTGAGACATGGCTGAATAATTTCAAAGAGTGCTTTTCAGATCTTCTCCCTCCTCCTTTATCTTAGGTTTAAGGACAAGCATATCAATAGCTATTAAGCCTCAGAGTTTCCTCAGAAGGCTGTGCACATTCAAAGCGAACCTGCATAATATAGTATATGCCAAAAAGGTAGCAATTGGGATTCAGTCTTTGCACAAACACGGCTTCAACAAATGTCTCAGATGTTCCCATCCACATACACAACTATTCAATAGACTAAATATGAGACATCTTGGACGCACCTAGTACCTCAAGCTATACCAGTTCAAACAAAATAATGGGTCCATGTAGCCAGCTGTTTGCCAAGAGGTAACTTAACATGTTGCACATGATATTTAGTGAACCAGCCATCACTAATGTGAAATGGTGAGGGAAATCGTACTACACTTTTGCCACCTGCCTAGAAATCTGCACAAACGGGGAAGTCTTGTAACATGGGCTATTCTGGCTGGAGCTAATAGAAGTCAGAGTCCAGCAATCTCTGGAGGGCCACAGGTTTCCCACCTCTGACCTATACCAAAGGTCTCTTTGAACAGTCCAAGGCACAAGAAGGGTCTGTAGCTGCCCAAACTCCAGATTGTCCCTTTCCTCATTCTGCCTGCTGGAGCAAGCCAGGTCCTAGTTTTATCCAACAGTAGGTGGGCACAGAGGGTGGGGAAAGAAACCAGGAGTTCAGGGGTGGTGACCCTCAAGTCTGGGAGCCAAATGTGACTCCTCAGACTTCTCTATCTGGCCCTTGGAAGTCTCTCCAGGCCACCCTTGTCATTGGCCTGGCTCTGTGTTTCTGCCTGCTCAGATGTGTCCTTCAGCTCTGATAAGACCTCACCTTGGTCTGGATGGAGATGTAGAAAGCTTACTGTGGAAGAGAAACAACGCTGGTTGCAAAGAACACAGGATGGGGCAGAAATCGCTGCTTCCTTACATCCCTTATTCAGACCACAGATAGCAGCTCACATGACTTGATAATCCGCCACATCAAAATATAGAGAAGGCTACATTTGAACCCTTCTCTTTTAGTTTCCTATGTAGAAGGTTTGTTTGTTTGCTTTTGCTGTTGTGGGTATGGAGAAGCATCCAGTCCTGTGAGCTGACACCTGCAGTCTGAAGTGGCAGGTACAGTCCAGCTGTAAGTTTATCACCTCAACAGAAATTAGATTGGCTTCAAATCCCAACTTTTGACAGCTTCCTCCAACTAAAACCACACCATACACCCTTTAATCAAGAACTGTGGGTAAATTTCAGGGCTCTGAAGCAATTTAGAAAGTTTAAATTGTTTCTCTTTCTACTCATTAAGCCTCCATATTTAAATAAATTTGTATATTACCAAACTTTCAGCACAGATGGCTTCATGAAATATGGAAAGTATCATGAGATCATTTACAAATTGGAACATGACCACTCATTAGAAGGCCCTCTCAGTATTTTCTTTTTCATTACCTCTTGCAGGTAACACACCAGAACTAGAGCAGATGGCTCCAAAATAAAAAGTATGCTTGCTTTGTTTCACTAATTAGAATTTGCCCCCACTGATTAATCAGTAGAACCTTTGTTGACTAATCTAACCATTAAATTAATTAAAAACTTGGAGCCATAATACATTGACATTTTCCTCCACACAATAAGCTATTACTGAACCACTTATTAGGCACATTCACATTGTACTGGGTAGGACAGAAATCCAAGAAATCAGCCTTTCACTTCTGTCATTGAACCATAACCACTGTCGGGTGCAAACCACTTTTACATGGTCTAGGGAAGGGAGCTAAAACACCGGCATGGAAACAAAGTGCATTTTAAAACCAGAAATTGCGGGCCAATTGGCTTAACGTCTATTACAGGAAAACTGGTGGGGGAAAATGTTAGAGATAAAATTACCAAGCACATAAGAACAAGTCTTGCTGAAGAAGCACCAGCATGGCTTCTGGAAGGCTAAGTCCTGTCTATTACATAACCTATAGCAGTTTTTTGCGAGTGTCAGCAAGTGTACAGATAGGAGATGATTCAGTTGACATTATGCACTTAGACTTTCAAAAAGCTTTTGACAGAGTATCTCACCAAAGACTCCTGAGTAAGCCCTAGCAGTCATGGAATAGGAGGACATCCTATTGGGGATCAGTAACTAGCTCAGAAATAGGAAGCAGAGATTACAGTTAGTGGAGTCTTTTGCCAATGGAGAGATGCAGAAAGCAGAATTTCCCAAGGTACCTGTGTTTTTTAACTTGATCATAAATGATTTAGCATTATGGGTGAGCAGTGAGGTAACAAAGTTTGTTGAGAGCATCTAATTGTTCAGAGAGCTTAAAACAAAATGAGATTTTGAAGAGCTCCAAATAAACCTCTTCAAAGGGAGTGAATGGGCAGTAAAATGAGAAATGCAATTCAATGTAAGTAAGTGTAAAGTGATGCACCTTGGGGGAAAGAATCTAAATTTCATTTACACACTCATAGGGTCTGAACTGCCAGTGGTTGGCAGTTTCCCCTTTATAGAGCTTTTCCCTTTATAGAGAGGCATGTTAGTGGCTAGCTATGCAAACAGATCTGAGATGAGGGTGGGGATAGCAGAAAAGGCTGGGATGCTTCTTTTAAGCAACGGAAATCAGGAAAGTTTATATGGTCAGGGGAGTCTGGCAGGCAAAGTTGAAATAGTTTAGTACAGACAGACTCTTAGAAGTGCAGGGCATCATTAGAGAACAGTCAGGAGCAGAATTAGACCACACCTGCAGTGAGATATCTCTTACGGTCACATACCTGCTCCATGGATATATTTTTATAAATGACTGTCTGGTTCCATTCGGGATTCAAGCTTTTCTGCACATATTTAGTCCTCCTCTTGTTCTCGACACTGAAGTGGAACAAAGGAACAAAACATGTCATTACTTATACTTGTCTCCACCTGCTCCAAGGCAGAAACAATTTCAGTGCAACTGATAAAAATAAATAAACCAATCATTCAGGCTGGCACAGAATAATGCCAGTTGATCTGCTGTAAATGATAATCTTCTGCTGAACAATCTCCCAATTCAGTCTTTAAAATAAAACTTTTGAATTTACAGCCTGTCTACTAAGAAACCTCCCAACCTCTGTTGCCTGTGACTGACAACAACACAAATATCTTGGTTGCATTTACAAATTGCTCCTGTTTGTTTACAACAGCCTTTCTCATTGTAAGAGAAAATAGTGATGTATTGGTTTTCTTGAACAACTTCCTTGCGGCTATCAAGCTGAGATGGGTTTAATTCTCTGTATTATTTTCTCATCTTTAATCATAGGAGCGTCATCCCTAAAAAACATGAAAGGGAAGCTCTGATGCAAGCTCCATCCTGTTAATGATAGAAACACTAATTTAATATTGATCCTTTAAAGCAGGCTTCAAAGCTCCTTTTTCTATAGGGCATTTCAGAGGTTTTGCTGAATTATTTGATTTACAATGTATTTTATTGTGTTGTGTTTTCTGAAGGCTGAGACTACAAAACCAATGGCATGCTTTTCCATCACAATATGATGGTTCTAGACCACATGCTGCATTTCACTATCACATAATCTAATCAGATAGCATTTTGAGGAAAGCTGAATGGTTACAGATCCACCACCTCACTGCCTCAGAATCACCATAGTCAGATTTTAAGAGAGATGCTACATATCTTTTGCAGAACTTCATTGTTTTTCACACGACTGCCCTTTAAGATTTGTTGTTGTTGTTAGTTGTTTAGTCGTGTCTGAATCTTCGTGACCCCATGGACCAGAGCACGCCAGGCACTCCTGTCTTCCACTGCCTCCCGCAGTTTGGTCAAACTCATGCTGGTAGCTTCGAGAACACTGTCCAACCATCTCGTCCTCTGTCGTCCCCTTCTCCTTATGCCCTCCATCTTTTCCAACTTCAGGATCTTTTCCAGGGAGCCTTCTCTTCTCATGAGGTGGCCAAAGTATTGGAGCCTCAGCTTCAGGATCTGTCCTTCCAGTGAGCACTCAGGGCTGATTTCCTTCAGAATGGATAGGTTTGATTTTCTTGCAGTCCATGGGACTCTCAAGAGTCTCCTCCAGCACCAGAATTCAAAAGCATCCATTCTTTGGCAATCAGCCTTCTTTATGGTCCAGCTCTCACTTTAAGATTAGTATTGGAAATATTTCATAGTTCTAAAGCTGACTTGTCTTCCTTCATTTGCCAAAAACAGTGAATTCTGATAAAACAGCTCTGCCCCAGAAATAGCATTCTCTTTAAGAGCATGTCATTATTGCACAGAGAGCAGAAAAAAGAAGCATTTGCAGTGGTATGCTGCTGGCACCACATCAGATTTATACGGTTGGCAATTGCAGCCAAATGGTGTCCCCAATGCAACCAGTGTCTGTTCAAATGTAGCGTATGACATTACAACCACTATCAGCCTTAAAGAAGCATAATTTAATTAGCAGTGAGATGAATATATTAAAAGCAGGAACAAGGAAATATCAAGCAAATCCCAGAGAGAATTAAAAACTATGTTTAAGGCACTGTACAATTTTAAAGTGAGAACTCCCCGCTAGGCAGACTTTTTCCATCGGGTAACAAGTATATAATGGATTGCAGTGACTGATAATTAAAGAGAACTGTATGCGTTGAAAAATATTCATATCAGAAAAAGTGGGTTTAAGACGCGCTGCTCTCATTTCACCAAAAGCAAATGTCCATGAAAGCTAACAGAAAACCTCCCACAAGACTAGTAACATTTTTTACAGGTAGTTTTGCCCACCTCTAGACTGTCATTAGAGGGACGCGGGTGGCGCTGTGGGTAAAAGCCTCAGCGCCTAGGGCTTGCCGATCGAAAGGTCGGTGGTTCGAATCACCGCGGCGGGGTGCGCTCCCGTTGCTCGGTCCCAGCGCCTGCCAACCTAGCAGTTCGAAAGCACCCCCAGGTGCAAGTAGATAAATAGGGACCGCTTACTGGTGGGAAGGTGAACGGTGTTCTGTGTGCTGCGCTGGCTCGCCAGATGCAGCTTTGTCACGCTGGCCACGTGACCTGGAAGTGTCTCCGGACAGCGCTGGCCCCTGGCCTCTTAAGTGAGATGGGCGCACAACCCTAGAGTCTGTCAAGACTGGCCCGCACGGGCAGGGGTACCTTTACCTTTACCTTTAGACTGTCATTGGATTTTCCCTACAGTAACATTTTGAGAAAATTCTGAGTTTTATTCTCAGGTGAAACATCTGGAGCGTGTCAAAAGAAGCCCCAAAAGTTTTGATAACTCTTTTTTTTTTTGCAGGAAAAAAACCACACCAGGTGAATTCATAATTAACTATTTTTTCAGCATTCTCTCCTATAGAAATTTCAATAAAATACATATAAGACAAGTCCTCAGATCACTACTTCCTCACGTATCAAAAGAAGGGTCACTATCTCCAGTCCTTAAAATAGCAGTTAAACTACTGGTTCCTCTCCCCACCCACTGAACCATAAAGCTACTGGAACAATTGCTGGTTGATTGTTTCTATAGCAATTGTGAGTGTCAGGGAACTGACATCGGAGCGAGAGGCGAAGGGGAGGCTCCCAGATGATGCTGGCGAAGGACCCAGCAGAAGGGGGAGAAGCAGCTCAGGAGAGGGGGAAGGAAATCAGCGCAACACCAGGGATAAAAGGGAGCAGATGGGGGAAGCGGAGAGAGGGCTCCAGGACTCTTCACTGGACATCAGTGAGGAGAGCACAGGTCCCCTGCTACCCACACCCTCCCTGCGCAGAAGACTCCCGCGCAGTGAGAGGAGGAGGAGACTGGGAGTCAAACAGCTTTTATGTTGGAAGAGGTCTAAGAAACGCCCACTGACGGATTCTGCTAGCAACTGAGGCAGCCACCTTGAGATGGGCTGTGCAGTCAGAACGGTTTAACAAGGCAATTTAGCCTAGAGAGGAGGCAGTTTACGCACGAGTAACTCATACCCATTACAGTGAGTTATAGAAATTTAACCTGCACTAGACATGAGCAGCAAATGTCAGCTACTTCACAGGCCCATGAAATTCTAGAAAACTATAGTTGTGTGCCCAGGATATTACGTATTTCATGCTTAGAATAATCAGAGAATCAGTGAATAATAATGTACTTTACCTTGCATTCTGGACTACCATGACTTGGCTGCAAGGCCCCAGGGCAACAATGTGTTGAAGAATGATGGGAACAAACAGGAAGTAGAAGAAGAGAGAACCAGGGGAGAGAAGATATTTAGAGCATTTTATGCAAACAAGAAATGATGGGTGTATATATTACGAGAAATAGAAACATTAACCACTCTAGGCAGTTTAACATGGAACAGTAATCAGAGATAGCTACTATCAGACTAGATGGTTCAGACATAAGGCTAAAGCACCATTGTAACATTAAATGGACAAGCAGGTACAATCCTTGGGCTCCCACTGTCCCTTTTCTCATTCCTCTCTTTACACAAGAGTGGAGGAAGCTCAAGGCTTTAATTCCTGGTACAAATGGTAGATTCCAGTCATGTCTTAATATGGAGAACTGTAGGTTGTTCAAACCATGAAGAGTTTGCAAACCATAATATTAAACCATGGTTTGATCCTAGTTTGGATTAACTAACTATGGTTGGACGAGCCACAATGCACCATATTCAGACATAATGGGAAGCTGTGGTTTCCTGAAAACCACAAACAGAAGATCTAAACTTCCTTCCCTCAGAAGGAAGGGAGGGTACTGCTTAAGCCCAAGGTTTATTCTTGCTCATCCTCATATGCTAAATCACAGTTTAACTTGATGTTTGAACGGGGCTGGTGAGTTCATTCAAATCATCTGGTAACACATTTGAGCATTTCTTCAGCTAGGGTATAATCATTAGTGACAACTAAATGTTAAATACATCTAACATAAAATTTCTGAAATATTTGTTATGTCTTTTCCTTCACAGTTCTGACTATATTTAAATGTTTTCCAGTTTTCCAGCCATGTTCCCATGGGCTTCTCTAGGAGAAAATTAACATGCATACATGTAAAAGGCCCAGGTTCAATCCCTTGCAACTCCAGGTAGTGTTGTTGTTTTTTAACATATTTTACCACCTGTAAGTGAGTTTCAGAGTGAGTTCTTTCCTTTTCGTTGATATGGATTTAAAGGGAGGTTTAGACCACATTCTGGTCCACTGAATGGGGTTAATCTCATAGCCTATGTTGTCCTCCCATTGTTTTTTGATTACATCTAGGGGGTTTGTGGGATTTTGGAGTAGTATTTTGTATATTGCGGATACCACCCCTTTGCTGTGTCCCTTTGTTATTAGGAGGAGGTTGTCAAGGGCCTAGTTGCTGCTGATTTTACTACTGGATTGTTTAAGAGGGCATGTAATTGGTGGTGTGTTAGTCAACTCCAGGTAGTGTTCATTTAATTATTTGACAAGATTTATATATGCCTTAATCAACAAAAACCTCTAAGGGTTGGGAGAGACTCCTGCCCGAAATCTTGGAGAGCTGCTGTTGTGTACACAACACTGAGTCAGACAGACCAATGGTCACACGAGCATAAGGCAGCTTTCTGAAAATATGAAATACTTTATTGTCACTTGTACAACTTGTATACAGTGAGATTACACCGTATACAAAAGATGAGCAAACTGTGGGTGAACAAGCTTTCCTAAAATACAATTTGCCCACCAGCCTTGTTGTAGTTTGCAGAGGGTGACAGTGAGGCCCACATGAAATGAGTGTTCAGATTAGTTGATAAGAAATGGATCTCTTGAAGGTCAACAATGGGAAACCTGTTGTGTTAATAGCTGTTAGTAGTTGAAATCACCCCTCCACTTACCCTCTTCCTGGCAGAAGATAAACTTTGACAAACGGGTCCGAATAGCCGTTGTTGTCACGGGGAACAAGGTTTCTTGCTTGAAGAATGTGAATTATCAAATTGCCAAGGTGCTTGTCATAGTTGATTTGAAGCTAAGCGTAAACATTGGTTGCCATTAATCATTTCTCAAATAATGTCATTTCAAAGTAACATCTATTACTACAGGTTACTTTTTAACATTCTCCAACACTAAAATTCAGTAATGCATCTTCATAGCTTTCCTAAATGAATCTCATAAGACGTTTGTTTCAAGCAGATGATTTAATCTTCCTCTAAAGAGAAAGAGAATAGAAGCATATTTCCCTGAAAAGTTTCTAAAGCAGACAGTAATGCACAGGACAATGTCCTGTGCAGCATTATTTTTTTAAAAAAGATCTAAAATCTTAGAATTTTCTGGTAAATGTAAGCATTTATCCATTTAAGGGCACTATGTCATATTGATCTATATTGTTTGTTTGTTCGTTTTTCTGTACTGAGAGTTTACCAAGCAGCTCTTTGCATCTCTAGAACCCTAATCTTCTCTTCCTATATTTATTCTGCTTTCAAGAAGCTGAGAGTGGGGCAGAGATTTATTGGCGCTTAAGATACAGTAGTCATTTGCAAGTTGAAGGTTTTTGGTTTTTTTAAGCACTCCTGAATCAGTTAATTATATTTATATACCTCTTTGCACAGCTAAACGCAGGTCCATAGTGATTTACAGGACAATAAAATACAGAAATGCAATGTGCATGCCCTGTGGGATTTCTGACTTTGCTTCCTTTGACCAGCAAATTCCCCTGCCAAATCACAAACTGCTTTGGGACACCCCCTCTGTGCTCAAGGTGGTTTGCAGTCTGGCATGGGGGGGGCCCTGGTCTATAGCAGGAAGTAGTTGTTCAGTTATTTGGATCCCAGCCCCTAAAAACAATTGACCTGCTCCCATTGCAAATGCTTATAGCAAAATAACTATTGATTTGAACAACAGAAGAAGAATGCAACTATATCACTGGAAACAGGGAGAATAGGAGTTGTTTTGAGAGTGTCTCTTTTGTGAAGGTAGGTTCCTTCTGATTGTGGAAGGGGCTGAGATCCAGCGGGCACACTTCGATTTCCCCTGTAGTCCTCCCCACCACCTCCCACAATGTCCTGGAGCAACTTTGCTGGAAGCACTGGGAGCTGTAGGAATAAGGAAGAGTCCCACGAGCGGAGTTCTGCTCACAGAAGTCTGGATCAAAAACCAGCAGGTGTCTATTCTTTTTCCATAACCCGACTATGGGTTGTATACAAGAGTGTTGCAGGTGATGGAAAAGAATCAGGAAGGAAGGAATTTTAGGGTGATTTGCCCTTTCCCCACAGCAGAGCTGCACAGAGCTGCAAGAAGGGATATCCCTGGACATCGATTCCCTCCCCATTTTGTGGGTAGAAGTCTTACTGTCAGCTGAGCAATGTCATTGTATACAACCAGTGCTTTTTTCTAAAAAAATGTGTAGGGGTGCTCTCATTTTGACTCAAGAAAATCACCATTTTATAGTTCAAATCGGGAAAAATAAATACAGTAAATGGACAAAAGCCAAAGATTCACAAAATGTTTAGGGGTATGTGTACCCCTACGTACCCCCAGAAAAAAGCACTGCATACAACCCTATACTTTTAGTTTTGTATCATGGCACAGGAATAATGGAATTCCTGTCTGGAACATCCATACAGGAATTTGCATAAATGTGCCCTGTGCAGTTCCTCAAATTAAAATTGAATTCATAGCTCTTCCCTTCCTCAGGAAGCAGCAACTGGATTAATATTAGTCATCAGCATTTGCATTCCACACACCTGATTTTTTAAAATCTATTTTTAGCATTGATTTACAATTTGTGCAATGTTGGCAGTCTAAGAATCAAACAATGATAATTCTGTTCTATTATCCATTTATAGCATCCATAAATGCTAATATTAGATTGTTACCTGAATTTCTCCAGTAATTGGATGGGAACCAGACTTTGTACCTTCCGTGGGCTGCCATATTCAAAGAAAGAAGCACAGAAACACAGTTGTAAATCATTTCATTTTAAATAGTATTTCTTGCTATGAATATTTATAGCATTATGATCATCATTCCTACCATTCTTACACCTCCATGATTAAGACTACTGACTTTGGTGGTACAAAAATTATAACTGAAATGAAATTGACCACACAAGTTTTGAATGTGACACTTTACATGAGAATTTGACTTCTGTGGGCAAATGACATCACTGAAATGACACATGTCAAGATCAAAACAAACCCTAAATGTTAATACTGCTTAATCTCATATATAAAATAACCAGGCAGGAAGTTACTTTGCATACACTGAACAGCTTGGGGAGGCTAAACAGGATTTTTTTACTTTCCTCCTCATGTAATATCACAAAACACTTTTGAACAGTCCTTCAGATTCAATGCAGAGAGTGTATGATTCTTTGAACCAAACTGAAGAAATGAGTTGTTTCCAGACAACACTTAGAAGCATCATTGACTACAAAGTTTAAAGAGTTTGCATAGCAGGGCATAAAAAGGCAGGTGGATTTATGTCCAGGCCTTTCATGTTATCATAACTTTGCCCATTCCAAACAGATTTTCAGTTGGTTCAAACTGTCCAAAAATAGTTTCTGTCATAAAGGTACCTGTGGTCTTTTTTCGTGTAACAAATCCCAATAACTTCTGGCTCGGACATCTCATTAGCAGATCATTTGATTTCATCAACATAACGTGCAATCATTGTCATTTGTTCAACAAGACTAACACCAGGTGTGCAATTCAGAATATCCAAGTAGTATTTGCCTGAGCTAAAAGTTTCTTCTTTATAGCACCTACTAGAAGCTGTATCAGCTAATTTTGGATATCCTTTCCTAGGTAGTGAACCATTTTTTTTCTTGATCTTCAGCTCTACACCAATGTTCACTCATGATTGGATCAAAAAGGGCTAGATATTCTACAAACTTCAAAAAGAAGATGTCATTGTCAGCACTGTACAGGTTTTTTAGTTATACCGTGGAAACCCAAGTTTTGCAAGCCAAGAACTCTGACCTAAGCAACCAAACGTTCCAATATTTGTCACCAATATTGTTACTCTTGCCTAATTTCTGCTGGTAAATATCATCAAATGTTTTTCCTTTAGATAAGCACAATTCAAGTTCTTCTGTAGGTGGAAAAGAGCAACTAATTACTCTCAAAGGACATTTAAAATTAGGCAACATGATTATCCATCAAATGATAAAAGAATAAGCAGGCTAGCATGGGGTGTGGTCAGTATATTGCACCAAAAGGTCAACTCCTTTCTGTGCTGTGTAATTTGCTTTCTTTTGCTCAGTTCTTTAGACATTGAAGCTTTGTCAAAGTAATCTTACAGGACTCACCAGAGGTGGCTGTCATTACCATGATAGCAAGCTTCTCTACTAAGAACTGCTTTTTTGTTGTTGTAGAACTAAAGTAAAAGTAACTTAATCTGGATGGTTAAGTTCAGTCAAAGGTGACTATGGGGTGCAGCGCTCATCTTGCTTCAGGTCAAGGGGGCCAGTGTTTGTCCACAGACAGCTTTCCGGGTCACGTGGCCAGCATGCCTAAACCGCTTCTGGTGCAAGGAGGACCTTGACGAGTGCCAAAGTGCATGGAAACATCGTTTACCTTCCCACCGCAGCAGTAACTATTTATCTACTTGCACTGGTGTGCTTTTGAACTGCTAGGCTGTAGAACTATGGCAAGAGAACAGAATTTTAAAGCAAGAGGAAATCTAAATGAAACCACACCCAAGAGTTTTCTGCAGCAGACACAGGAATGCCTTAAATGTTGCACATGCAGTCCTTTGAATCCCACTGAAGGCCCTCTTCATCTACAAGTACAATCAACAGGAAACACAACCCTCAGAAAGTTTTTGAGTACTTCAGTGTGAACTCTGAATAAATTTGGTGGGTCAAAGTGACAGCCCTTTTGTGATACTCAAAATCGAAATTGCAAGGAAACCCCAAATAGGCCCTATTAGTGATGACTCATTATCAGTGAGAAGAGATGCTAGCTCAGTCAAAGCATTACACGGGTCTTAACTGAACATGTCAAAATGCCTCCCTTGCCATTCCAGACTGCCAGTGCCCCAAGCTGCTCAGATCGCAGCCAGAGTGAAACAGCCCCAGTACCCCTGTTGCTAACACAGGAACACTGGAATCTCTTCTTTAAGCTTCTTATGGTCTCGATATGAAAATGCATATATCCACCTCTGCATTCATACACAAAAAAAGCCAAAACAAACGAATTCATACCTTGCTACTGTGCCGTTTCTTGCTGACTGAAGGAGAACCAGGCTGACCAGGGCTAGGAACAGAACTTGAGTTGGCTGACGTAGTCCCAGAATGAGCATGGGAGCTCTTCTCCATTGCGGAGGAGGCCATCAAGGGAGCCTGTTGCAGGGAAACCTTTTGCAGCTCTGCAGCCAGTTGCTTTGGGTCCACCCCGGGCGACTTTGTTTTATCCACTGCAAGCAAATGTTTTTGTATTCATTTCTGCAACTCTCCCAGCTTGGGATGGAAGAATGGCAATTCATGCTAGTGACTTCCCCCGTTATTAGAGCACAAAGGGGAAGAAAACAGCTAACCAAGATGAACAGTAACAAAACTTTGGAAAATAAACCAAATTGCGAAACTTCATAATCTCAGCCAGCTTTTCAATTAAGTCAGCATGTGTATGTATTGTGGAGGGAACTTACTCACTCTCCTGAACCTTTAGCTTTTCAAAATGTAAGTCTCTAGTTCTTTGACTCCTTCTGTATATGAAAACGGGAAAATGGTATTGGACTTCAGTGTTTGGTAAGAAGTAGACCTCCTGTCTGCGAGCCAATGAGTGCAAAGACACCGGGGCAACAGACAAAGTATTTTTGCATCTTTAAAATCACAATTAAGTTTTATTTTGTAAGACTGGGTCAAAAGAAGTGCAATAAATAACAGCCAATAAAAATGTATTTAGAAAATAGGGGGGGAAATCTCTTAAAGAACTGCAGGGAGAATTCGGCTTGGGCACCAGGCTTCCTCTCCGTCTTCATTATGCATTCTCCTGCGCCTTTTGAAAAGCCAGTCCTAAGTGTTGGATATATCTCATGGGGCTGCAGCTGTGGGCAGTGAAATTAGCACATCTCTCTTGTGACTGTGGAAGCTCCCTTATGCTGAGTCGGATAACTGGTCCATCTAGCTCAGACCTGTCAACACTCTTGTCATTGGCTGTGGCTTCCCAGACCTACCCAGAGACACCAGTGATGAATGCAGGGACTCTGTACATTAACAGCATCATTTGGATTAGTATTCTTATTAAAGGTAAAGGTAAAGGTACCCCTGCCCGTACGGGCCAGTCGTGTCCGGCTCTAGGGTTGTGCGCCCATCTCACTTAAGAGGCCGGGGGCCAACGCTGTCCGAAGACACTTCCGGGTCACATGGCCAGTGTGACATCGCTGCTCTGGAGAGCCAGCACCAGCACAGCACACGGAAACGCCGTTTACCTTCCCGCTATAAAGCAGTACCTATTTATCTACTTGCACTTAGGGGTGCTTTCGAACTGCTAGGTGGGCAGGAGCTGGGGCTGAAAGACGGGAGCTCACCCCACCGCGGGGATTCGAACCGCCAACCATGCGATCGGCAAGCCCTAGGCACTGAGGTTTTACCCACAGCGCCACCCACGTCCCAGTAATCTTATTACTGATTTATTAATCAACAAATGCCTTTAAAGCAAGAATAAAACCATATGAAGTAGACTTGTGGAAAAGAGAGCATGTGCTCCACCACTGTATTGTGGACTTTCCATGCTCATTGGGGCTCTTTAGAGTCAAAACATTACACAACTGTAATCTCAAGCAGTTTACTGATAGCAAAGGGTTTGCCAGTTCAAACTGACATGTGATGCCCTTTCCCGTTTCCCCACCCGCCCCTTGGACCATTCAGCATAAGCATTTAAGCTATGGATCTGCAAATCAGTTTCTTTCCCTTAAACCTGAGGACATTTGCATTTATTACAGTATTACCATAACCCCCAAAGGGCTAGAGGTCTCTAGCCCATTTTTTGGTGTGACTTCTTGTGGGACATAATGATGACCAACTGTATGTGGGTTCCCTTACTCCCCCACCCTCAATTCTCTATATTAAGCTCAAATACTTGAATTGAAGACCGTCAGTTCTGATGTTTGCTCTAAAACCATTTGTTTGCCCATGTATCAAATAGGTTTAGTGAAATGAAATGGAAAAATATCAACACAGCCAATTTCAATTATCCAAAGAGCAATTTGTCATATCACTCCCAAACCAGAACTGAAAAAAGTTTTAAAAGTCGGTGCTGGTTGTGCCATCTTTGTATCAGCATCAGCAAACAAATAGTCCATTCTCTGCATATTTGACCCAAGTTGTCATCCACTGAGAAGAAATGGGACATAGTTGCTTCCATTTTTTGCTGCATATTCAAAGGTACTTGACCGTGTGTTCTAAATGTACCGGAATCACAATTGGTGGCCTGTGTCACTGAAAAGCAAATTGTTTTTACCTACCAGTCTTTCCTGGCTCAAGCAAATCCAGATGTTGTGGATTCTCGGCATCCGACATCATGTTGAGATCCCTAAAGGAAGCCATACGAAGCCTGAGACAAAAGGAACCCTTGGCCCACCCTCATTGCGGCATTAGAGTAGATAAATGAGACATGGATTATGGCAGAAAGCAGCTCCCAAGCATGACCCCTTTTTGGCCGATGCGTGTTTGTGACGCTATTCAAGTTGAAGAGCTGAGAAAAATGGCAGTTCTGGGGTGGATTTTTAAATGGAATAAATGCAGGTTTACACTGAAATACAACCACTTTCCACGATGTTCAGATGAGCTAGATGTATCATTTGTTTACCTAACATTGTCACAACACTTTCACTCACAATGAGCTTTGAAACCAGCTATGTTTCATCTCCACAGCGGTCCTGTGCCTTATTCCTCCTTTCCTGCAACTCATTAGGCCTGAATTATAGCAACGTACTATGACGGTACTGAAATTTGAATGCAGAATCCCCTTGTTCTAATGCAGCCCAAGCTCCCACTGCGCTTCCAGCAAAGGATTATTTGTTTTCACCCTTACATTTAATCACTCACCCAAACTCATTTTGATTAACCTTTTCCAATCACAGAGAGAAATTCAACACACAGCCCCCCAGAAGACATCAAAGGGAGTAAACTGACCTGTTAACATCCATGGGAACTTGGCCATAAGTTTCAATAGGCTGTGGATGGTACCTGAAAGTCTATATTTACTCTTCAGTTTATAGTAAGGAACAAAGAATTTCTCCTCTAATATGTGCACCAAGCTTCTTTCCTTTTTAGATATAAACGGTGCACAAAGTGTTTCACGGGTTCCACCTTAACAATTGTGAATAAAAAAGCCATGAAAAGCCAAAAATAATGGAAACAGAAAGATGAGGAAAAACTCACAGTCTTACACATATTTCTGCTTCCCCACTCTGCTGACTGATGATACTCTGGACTTCTTCATATGTTTTGGCCGTCAAGGGAATGCCATTCCATTCCAGGACCTGCATCCCTAGGGGGGCAGAACAGGGGGAAAGACAGTTAGGCCACGGTCTGGATTATACCCAGTATCTTGAACATATATAAAGCGAAAGGCCCAAATAGCAGTTCAGTGTAAGTCAGTTTAACAAAACTTCAAAGCCTTTCCACTGCACACTGATAAAAGAACAGAAAGCAAAACCCAAGACCAACATGTCAAATTACCTCTGCAGGTTAACATAGAATGATCCAGTGGGAAAACCGTGAAGCCTTTGTACCTGAACAAACAAATTGAAGGGGAAAAGGAGGAGGAGAGAGGAAACTGGGAGCTGGGAGCTGGCATTCTTTAAGCTGCATTCTTGACATGCCCTCCTTGGGAAGAACTCATTGAATGTAGAAAATTAGAATGTCATGGATAAAAAGAATAATCAGCTTAGCCTTCTCCCCAGTATGTTTTAAGGATCACAGCTAGATAATGAATGTGACAGACCCTCGAAGTGTCCCTATATTCCAGGGACATCCCTGATTTAGAGAAGCTGTCCCGGTTTCTGATTTGATCCCGGAATGTCCCGCTTTTCCTTAGGATGTCCCTATTTTCATTGGAGAAATGTTGGAGGGTATGGAGTTATCCAACCCCTGAGCCTTCTGAAGGCAACCTTGTATAGGGAAGATTTTTTTTTAAAAAAAGTTTAATGTTTTATTATGTTTTTATATATGTCGGAAGCTGCCCAGAGTGGCTGGGGCAACCCAGTAAGATGTGTGGGGCTTAAATAGTAAAATTATCTTAATAATAATAATAATAATAATAATAATAATAATTTATTATTTATACCCCACCCACCTGGCTGGGCCTCCCCAGCCACGCTGGGCAGCTCCCAACAAAATATTAAAATACTGTAATGCATCAAACATTAAAAGCTTCCCTAAACAGGGCTGCCTTCAGATGTCTTCTAAAAGTCTGGTAGTTGTTGTTCTCTTTGACATCTGGTGGGAGGGTGTTCCACAGGGCAGGAATGGGACATCTCTATTTTCATCAGAGAAATGTTGGAGAGTATGATGTGAACTAGTTTGAATACCTGAAAGTGCTATACACATTTATATCATTATTCTTTGAAAAACTGCACTAAGGAATTGGGCTGCCTTATCTTATGCTTTGGACTTTGCCACAATGATTGGCCACCTCTGCCCAATTTCTGTATTACAGAGTTGGAAGTATCAGGCCATTTTGTTTTGGAAGGCATTTTCAGTACCAAACCTCACCAAGACTATTTTTTTATAACTAAATAAGACAATTTGCTTGGCTTTAGAAACACATCAGAAACTATGGTTTTAATGGAGAACTATCCCTGCTTGAACAGTTATTTACCAGCATGAATCAAAGAATAGAAGCCTTGAAGCTACAAATGTAAAATGTCATTTACAGGCCAATTTATACAGGAATAATAATCCTACAGTTCCAGTTTATCTCATGGGGCTTGTGCAGGAGAACTTTCCTGGTGAACTGTTCCTTAACTAGCTAATCAAAGTCAACATGCAAAACAGCACCCCACTGCATTTACACAGCACAAAAGTGACATTTCCTTGATCTGGTTCCACTTACATGGACAAAACAGAATCACTTAATGGATCCCATGTTTATTTTGAGACCTGTGCACACGATAAATGAGAGAACAAAAATAAAATTATGTGATAAATTCTTAATAAGAAAATAAATGGAAAAAGCAGAATATTGTTTGAGGAAGACACAGGGAAAGCAAAATTGTGTACAAAATAAATTAAAAAATGAACTAATGAAAATGTTCGGTTGATATTCCCATATCTCCAACATACTGGGTTTTTAGGGTAATAAATGAAGTCAGATATTGAACACCACTCACACAGCAATGAACTTCAAAAAACAGTGGCTATGTGCGGAGTTAATAAAGTACATGGAGATACAGAGGTGTCTTTTATAACTGAGCCTGTGCTTTCCTAAAATTAATTCTCTTAAAAGTCTTACTCAGATTTATAATATTGCTGAAGGCTGGAGACAATCACTGCCATGTTCATATACTGATTTGCAAGAGTTGATATACTTGGGGTACGCAGGAGTAACCCAGAATAGCTATTTTAGCCAGATAGAATGGCCCCTCTCCACTTCTCTCATCACTACCATCTGAAATGGTGTCATTAGGAATTTAAGATAGCAAGTCAGGGCGTGGACCTGTGAAACACATGGTGTGCAACTGAAATCAATGGACTTAAAAGGGTTTAACTTTGTCAGGTGTGTGCCTCATGTGTGTTTCTTTGCCCCAGGTTTTCTTTAGCTCTGGAGCTTTTTGATAGTTTAAAATAAACCAATGGAAGGCAACGTGTTAATGTTATTTTTGGCTACTTCTTGAGCATGAATCACGCAGGAGCTCATTATTGCTGCAGACACCTTAACTTCCTCTCTAATTCATCATTTGTGTCCGCGGTGAACATTTTCCATTATTGCAACAATTAATGTACTTGTTAAGATGGACAATCTGTTCCCTGTAATAAAAATTGCCTGCTTGGATCAGACACTGCCTCATGGACATTTTGTGCTGCATCAGACTGAAAGAATTGGAAAATTAGACAGCTGGGGGGAAGGATTCAAAGGTAACAGCCCCCATTAGGATCGCATACCCCCAAAGGTTCCTAATAGAAGGCTACCGTGGGCATTGACACTGGGAACACGAGCAAACCAGACCCAGAAGGAGAGCTGTTACCCAATTAAAGAAATCTTGGTCTAGTCATCGTTGTGTGTTTTAATCAACTGGTTCATTAAATCTGCATGCATTAGCATTGCAATAAAAACAGTAGGAATGTAGGAAGCTGCCTAACACTGGGTCCAGTATTAGTATCATTCATCCAGCCCGGCATTGTCTCTATGGACTGGCAGCGGTTTTCCAGGTCCTTGGGTCAAAATCTTCTGCACCACCTGCTCCCTCATCCTTTCAACTGGAAGCGTCAGGAACCGGACAAAAGCTCCCTGAGGTGCGCATGGACAGAAATGGAGCCCAAACCAAGAAATGAGAAGGAGATACCATTGTGAATCTTCAGGTTTGCAGAAGCACAATGTAAATCACAGAGTACTGAATGGCAGTTGGGAGAAAATAATTCAACCCTTGGAAGGGGTCCAATGCGAGCTCCTTATAGCTTGCGGAAAGTGTGGGAAACTGCTTCCACAAACTGCTTCTCTATCCACACCTCTCGCTATGCTCATGTTTGTATGCATTAAGTTACCTAGAGGAGCTAGAAATGATTTGTAAATCCTGATAGATATGCCACAAATTCACTTTAGTGAAAATCCAGGATATTAATGCTTTTTTGTGGGTTGTTTTTTTTTAAAATATATAGATATACTAGAAATCAACACTTTAGCATTGGATATGCAAGCTCATATTTGGGGCAGGTCCAGTGGCGTAGTGTGGGGGGGTGCAGGGGGGGGCGGCCGCACCGGGCGCAACATCTGGGGGGTTAGGGTTAGGGGGCGCAAATTCACGGGTTAGGGGGCGCAAATTACTTGCCTTGCCCCGGGTGCTGACAACCCACGCTACGCCACTGGGCAGGTCCTTCCTATGTCCTCCTGAGCCTAGTTTCAGATCATAATATGCAAACATATCCCCCAGTAGAGATTCAATGCCCTTTGCAATCTTCAACGTGAAGCCAAGTGCAGATCCTAATTTTCATCTGTGTCCCCCAATGGAGCATTTACTTCTTACATATTTGTTCATCAAAACTTTCAGAGGTTTTAAATTGAGCGATACTTATGTACGTGCTCAGATTGCACATTCAATTACTTATAAAACAGCAATACACGCATATGCAATAATAATGTATAGCTGCACAGAAATACAAGCCAATGCATGAAGAACCACAACAAACATGGGGTAACTAGTGGAAATCAAGGGACAGATCACAATCATCTCTAATTCCATGGACATGCTATTGCTATTCAGTTAGCAAACTGAACCTTTATAGGCCATATCAAGAAAGCACGACAAGCTGCTCACTAGCAATCTAGGCCACTTTTCTACCCTTAAATGCCTTTTTCACACTTCCTTTCACACACTATACTGATGTTATTTAAAGCGGAGTCAACAAAATTCAGCATTTACAGTCAGCATTCTCAGTTTTGCACCAAAACGAAACCATAGCCACAGCAGGTTTTTCGTAAAGTAAGGAACTGATAAACACATATGAAAATAAAATGTGAATCACTGTAAGCAAATCAGTTTTTCAATTGCCTGCCATAATATGGGAAAAGAAAAGACTAGACCAGAAGATCCCTGGCCTTCAAAAGATTACATTTTCCAGGGCTTCCCGGGAAGAGGGACTAAATATTAAACCCTTTTAGGTTTGGGGATGTGAATATGCCCAATCAGGGGTCAATAAGCTGCCCCTGAGAAGCTTGTAAAAAGGGTGCAATGCATAAATTCATCAGATATTTATTTCCACAGCATGTGATAATCCAGGGGTGGGGAACCTTTCTGGATTTCACAGGATAATTTTTTATCTTCCCCAGCCCCAAGGGCATACTTTGACAGATGGGCAGGACCACTCACCTGTCAGTCATCTGATGTCATAACAATGCCTGGTGATTGCTTTCATCTATCCAGAATTAACTTTTAGGGTTTTTCCCATGCCACTGGAATAACTTAGGCTGCATAGCACCGACATTTTGAACTTCTAGACTGGTAGAAATCAAAGGCCACTGAGAATACTCATTTCAGATCTAATGAACATCTCCTTAGGAAAAAGTTGTAGTATTTTAATCAGGAACCTCATAAATCCAGAGTTCTCTGTAGCTGTTTCAACATCTATTTTATTCAAGTGGCGACCTGCTGTTCCTTGGGCATATCACCATAAAGCTCCCTGCAGAAATAATTTTGTTGTTCCTTGGAGTACTTCTGAGTTATAATCAGAATATAAAATAAAAATTAATTATTATTCTCTTGGGGAATCTCTATCACCACTCCAATTCATTTCCTCCTTTTAAAAAACTTTAATCATCTTCTACCTACCGTA